AATCCAATCCAGAAATGGGTTTCACATCAGTTTGAAACAGAAGCTTAAAAATGTCCTGATGATCTTATTTTGTGTGCCCTCTTTTGGAGAAACTGCTGTAGAAAATAAAATGTAGTTGAAGGGCATTTTGTTTATACAGAAACTATGGCTATTTACTTTAATTGTTTTTGTCTTTAACCTGGATTTTATGGGTTTTTTGGTAGTATACACATATGCCATCACACTGGTGTTGTGATTAACGTTTGTTTTCTTATCAAGCAAAGAAGAATACTCATGATTTTGCCTTTTAAGCTTTAGCCGTGTATTTGTTGAATACAAGCAGTAAACCAGATTATTTGCAGGTGTCTTGTATGTTTCTTTAATGGATATAGCCCAGTGTGGAATGATTCAGACACTGTGAGGGAGCAATATTCTCTTGACCATTAGTGTCACCTAAAGACACGACAAAACTGGCAGTTGTGATCTGTAAGGTTATTTCATGCACAAGCCCGTTCTTCTGTGTGCGGGCTGAAGTTACTCTGTTTGAACTGACGTTACTGGGGTCCTTTGAAAGTGCAAGGATGCTTCCTGCAGCCAGATCTGTTGCTAGAGTTTAAATGCATTTAGTATAAAAGCCTAGACTTTGTGGAGGTTGATACTATTTTAGAAAAGGCTTTTTACCTGTCACATGCATGAGAACTTAACAGGCTTTTCTTTTGAGTCCTGACTGAAACAAAAGCACAGATGTCACATCGTTCGCATTCCTTTAGTTAGCAGTGAAACTAGCAGGAATCAGATCATCTGTAAGCAGTGGCTGGGAAGGGAAAGGTGAAAAGCAGTTACTCATTAAGGAGTAACTGTGTGAATGCCTTCTTTGGGGCCACAAGGGATTTTGGGCAGGGATACTTCAAACTGATCGTCCACTGCTTGTCTAGCTGGCAGCCGCATATAACCTTTGAGTGAAGTCCGAGAACAGGGTTTTGGTAGGAATCCTCAGCTCTCTAGTCCAGGCAGTGTGGGACGAAGGTTGTTATTGTTTCCCATGGACATTATCCAGGAGAGTGGAGCCCTCATACGGGTATTAGTTATCCAGAAAACGTTGATGACCAGTGTGCAGAGCTGATCTTTGAATCTGAGGTGACTAAAAATTGAGTGTAGAAGGTAAGGGAAAACAACCATGTAGTCAGAGCTGGCAGATCAGTTCTAGCATTCTTTTTGGTTTTTTTGCCTAGATTGGGAAAGCTTACTCCTCTAGACAGGGGGAGTTTCAGTCTGAGGCCAGAAAAAAATACTTGGGGGGAAAAAAAGCCCAAGTATTTTTTTAATTTTTATTTTTAATCTTTCACCGAAGTATCTAATACTAGTCACTGTCAAGGATAGGTTATTGAATTAGAATTATCAAATTTGGTACCTCATGGGGAGAGGCAAATTTTCATTTTAAAATTGATATTATATCATCAGATGTTCATTGGAAAGATTTAATTGTTGTAGTTTTAAGAATCTACACAATGTAGCTTTTCACTTAGAGAAGTTAGTCTGTGTTTTAAAAGTAAGTTCACCTACTGTCTCTTATGACATCCTCATTATAAAAGGTAGCTTGGATAGCACACAAACTTGATCAAAGGCTTGCAGATCTGAGTTTTTCCTTTTCCTCTTACCCCAGGGGGTAAGACTTACTAGAAAATTTGTTGCATTTGTTTTCCATTGGTTTTCACTTGTATATTTTAGCAAGAAAGATAAATAAAATTGTCTTCCCTTTTAACTAGTGTTAAATTTGAGATATTTTAAATGGATTGCATTGCACTACCATACATGCAATTGCAGCGTAAGGTATTTGTCGCCTGATGACTACAGGATTAAAGGTTATAGGGTGCTCTGGCTTCTGTATTGCACACTTAAAGCAATAATAGACTGTTAGAGCTGGGCTTCTAGAAATAGCCCTTAAAAGTGCAGAAGGCTTGGAACCTGTTCCTGCTTGAAGTGTGGGTTTTTAATGTGATGAAAGAAGAGCTATAATAGGATAATAGAAACTCAGCAGTAATTTCATCTCTTGCTGTCCTGCAGTAGGCCTTCAAAGAGTCGTCCAGTCACTTAGGATGTGGAGTGTCTCATCCACATTGGCAAGCTTCTGCGGAAACATTCATCAAATACAAAGAAAGGGCTTTGGCACTTCTTCACTAAAAATAAACTCATATTTGACCAGTAAAAATATAGTTATTCCAGAAAAAAATTACGGCTCAACAGTGTGATTTATTGCATCTTAATATATTACTGAATGCTATACTGATTAGAGTCATTATCTGCTTGACTCTTGGCAAATTCAGTGTTCTTTTTAAAAAGGTTTTATATTGTTACTATCACTTAGGGAGCCCCAAGCACAGGAAGATCTCATGTGCATATATAGGATTTAAATTTTATCATAAAGGTGATTGAAACTGCAATTTTTTGATCTAATAAATTGCATTGTCCTTTTACGTGACAACATACAAAACCCACTATCTTTTGTGGTTGTGGGCATCCATGGTGAAGCCCTTGTAAACTTGCTCCTTGACTTTTTGTAGTATGTCATTGCTTTTAGAGTTTACCCTTGCAAGAGTAGGGGAGAACAAAGCCTCTTGAGGTTTTACAGAATACTCACTATTAAAAGGGCTATGCATACTTATGTGTATGTGTTAAAAAACAAACAAACAAAAACCTAGTGATTAAAGGCATCTGCTTTGTCAAAAAAAGAAAAGAAAAGCTAAGGTCATAAGTGTGACTCTGCCCTATAGTGCAGCTGAGTCTGGTGATGCAGCAGTCTGGCTGTGTGGAACTGATTCGAGGAAGCTGGTAATTGATACAGAAAATTAGCCTTGGGATTGTTTAATCTTCATTTGGGATTTCATTCAATGTTTGTTTTAATCTATCTGAGTTTACAATGTATTTTTAAAAACTGGAACTTAAAACGCATTAGTCATTTCTGGAAGTCATTCCACATGGCTTTGTCAGCGTAAGTGATTTTTGTGAAAGTTCGAGCTCAATATCGTGAGGTGCTGAATGTCTGCTGTGAAACTCGAAGCGTGCGCAGGTTGTCAGCGGTGGGTCTTTGCAGGACCTGCTCTGGTGGCTTGACCTTTACCTGGAACCACTTCTGAAAATCTGAGTTTCAGAAACATGTTTGTAGCAAAAGGTCCAATGTGAGAAACTTATTCTAGAGACTGAAATAAAGCAGCAACACGTTGTAACTTTAAAAGTAGTATAGCCTAACCAATATCACTGTGTTTAAGCCTGCAGTGTGTGCTAAAATTTTGGCTTCAGCTAAATGTTGTAGATACAGGGTTGTTTTGGTTTGGGGTTTGTTTTTGTTTTTTGGTTTTTTTTGAAAAGGGATCTTAAATTAAAGGGTATTGGTCTGTTTAGTATATTATGTGGTATCAATTTAAGCCAAATGTGATGCTCTTGTATTTTTTTTAAAGGTGTAATTCTGAAGCTGGTAACTTCACTACTCTTACGAATAATACTGTTCACATTCACTGTCATCAAGCAGCAGAAAACTGATTTTGACTTTTAGGGCAGATGACTTTGTGTTCTGAAGGGTTAGTATTTTTTCTAATGTGGTTGGACGCTAATTATCCTTTGGAATGAAGAGCTTGAGCTCATACTGCTCCTAAACCATTCGTTCTTTGGCTGAGGATAGTTTAGCACATCTAGAGATTTTTTTGCCTTTTTTCCCCACGCTCCCTGAGAAGGAGCCATGCATTTGGATATTACAATAATGAACAAAATATACAAGTTTGGGTTAGAATGCAAGGTAAACTACAAATGAAATATTTGTGCTATGTAAGAAATCCAATCCTGACTTAAAAGTCAGAACCTTTAGTTACCAAGTTGTAACATTAGGAGTCTTTTTGCTTTGAACTTTAGAACTGAATTTGGATTTAGTGCAAGAGCTGTATGATTGCTTTCTCCTGATCAGCAGTTAGTTTTGCGTAACTAGTACCCTTGAAATATTGAGTGTGCTTCTCCTCATCAAAAATATCTTTGGGAATCACTCGATGCTGCTAAATTACTGGCAGCAAGTTCTCCATTCAGTTTTGCGCTAGAGCAGAGAGGGATGTCTCTTGGTCTGGGCAGGAGGCCCGAAATTCCAGAGCTCTCACCTTGGCTACTCACTCCCCCGCCTGCCTCCGGCGAAATTACTTACCCTATTTTTTTTTTAGCTTCAGTTGCTGCACCTGTGAAATCGAGACAATGCCTCCTCGCAGGAATGTTTTGCAAATCATGTAGGTGGAGTTGAGTACCTTTAAAGTGAAAAATCTCTTTTAAAAAAAAAAAAAAAAGTCTGTTAAGATATTTCTGTGTGTAGCTCCCTGAAATGGATGACCCAGCCTAGTTCCTTGCTGCCATCAAGAGGCACATCAAGAGATCCTGTTCCTAGCAGTGTGGTCTTGCACCCTGTCCTGCACTAGCTGGTGTTCTGTTAGTTTGGTCAGCTGGCACTAAATTAATGCCAGCCTCTTGTTCAGTGATGGTAAGCTATTAAATGGCCTGTTCTGCTGCATCTGTTGAGGCAATTAATCTATCAAATATTTTCATAGCCATGGGCTTTATTTAGACATCTCAGTTGCCCTTTTTTGGTAAGTGTAGCATTCTTCTATTAAGAGGAGATTTTTTTTTTCTTTTTAAAAACCAAAAATTGGTTTAAATAGAAAGGTGTCCCATGTTACAGCTGTATATGAATTTGCTATGCCCTTCAGCTTTCTCTCCAAATATTTTTTTTATTTCTGTGATTGTTTTGCCAGCATGATTTTTGTGATGATTTAACTCAGTTTTGTTACAATACAAAGTACCTAGAAAAAAAAAGAGAAAAAAAGTGTTGGTTTGAGTGTCTAACTGCCCCAGCATTTAGAGAAAGTCTGATTGCTTGGGAAAATTATAAAAGATTCTGATTTAAAAATATCAACAGTACTGATGATTTTTTTTTTTTTTTGGTCCAGTTAAACATTTCTACTTACAGTATTGTCTGTTTTCACTAGAACAAGTTGAAATCATCACAGAAGGATAAAGTGCGTCAGTTTATGGTCTTCACACAATCTAGTGAAAAGACAGCAGTGAGTTGTCTGTCTCAAAATGACTGGAAGTTAGATGTTGCAACAGACAACTTTTTCCAAAATCCTGAACTTTATATACGAGAGAGTGTTAAAGGATCGTTGGACAGAAAGAAGTTAGAACAACTATATAACAGATACAAAGGTGAGTACACTGAGTTTTAAGGCTTATTTCCTAGTTGTGTATTCTTAATTACAATGTCTCATTGCAGCTGTGCTCTTGTGCTTCGAAATCTTAACTGACTCCTTCAGCTTCGTTTTTCTATTACTAATAATACAAGTTAGAAGGGGAATATATGTAGGCTTCTGCTTCACAAGGATTACATGCGGTTGCTTTATGTGCTCTTTTTTTATGTGCTATATGTACATTTATACAAGATTAGGGTCTGGAACTGGGATTGTGTGTACAGTGAGTAACTGTAATCGTTAACGTGGATTTTAGGTGATTCTTCTGGGGAAAGCGCATCACTCAGGACTTGCTCCTGACAAAGTGAAAGGTTGCATATCAAGGATGGATTCTACCTTAATTTTTATTCACCTTCTGCTTATTATCAGATAGTTACAAACAGAGTGGAAAAGAAAACAGAGTCTTTTTATCTGTTATATAGCCAGTGTTCAACTGATGATATTCTACCACAAATAGTGAAGTGGATTCAGTACAGTAGAACAAATTCTGTGGTTTAGCACTTTAAAAAAATCTAAAAATGAGTGCTGCATTTTCTGTCAGTTTTCATATGCGTGCATAATCCAGATACCATTTTCCTGAAGTCTTTGTTGGCTTGCGTTAGTGGATCTTTGTTAGTGCACTTGAAATGTGAGCATCTCACTTCCAGACCAGATGTTGATTCCTTCATGGAAAGAGGAACGTGCCTGGCTGACTTGGAATCGGTAATGGGGCAACGTAACCTCCCTCTTGGAGGTTACCGTGTCCAATCTCATGCATGCTAGTGATGCCAGAAAATGCAAAAAACTAATGTCGACTTAGTAGTTTATGCGCAGATTTTATAATTGTATCAGCACAGCTTGCAAATGGACACTGCAGAATTGTTTATAATGGTACACAAAACGGCCATCTTACCAAAGATCACAATAATTAAGTGTGCTGGTGGGAAAGGACCACTGTTCTCTGTATGGAATGAGTCAGAATATCACACATACTATTAGGCAGAAAACAAATGTTTGTGGTGCTTTTGTCTCTCAATGAAAATAACATAAGCTTCATTGTATGGGAGGCTTTATTGTAGTAACTTCCGCAATTGTTAAAGCTTAACCATTGAAAATACTAATTTAATTTTCTTTTTAAAATACTCACTTAAAAGGGCTGATCCCAAAAATGGCTTCTTGAAAATGTTTGCTTCTCTTCAATACTCGTTTGAATAAATTAGCTTTTTCAAAAATCTGTTTTTCTTAATACTTACTTTTATATCCCGAAGATCCTCAAGATGAAAATAAGATTGGTATAGATGGTATACAGCAGTTTTGTGATGATCTAGCTCTTGACCCAGCCAGCATTACTGTACTCATCATTGCATGGAAATTCCGAGCTGCAACACAGTGTGAATTTTCAAAGCTGGAGTTCATGGATGGGATGACTGAGTTAGGGTAAGTGTGCAGTAAATATTAGACGCTGACGGTGTAATCCAGTGTCAGAAACTGGAATGTACAGTGACACAGCCCTATTTTGGGGAATTCACAATCACATTGTCCTTTCAGACCAGAGACTTTTCGGAATCCAGCATCACTTGTCTGCCTCTTTAAAAATGCATCTGCTGTGTATGTGCTAGATGCTTAGTGACAAAAAAAAGGGAGGCAACTTTGAGTGCTGCTTGTCTTGGTTGTGTATTTCAGTTAGTTGCCATAGAGCTATTCAAGTAGGTAAAGCAAGGATCTTGGTCTGCAGTCTAGCATACCTGGGTTTTCTCTGCCTTATGAGAATGTAGTAGTCTTTATGACATTTTTGTAAAAATTGTGTGGATTATAGAATCTGATGTATCAGATAGTATGTGCAAATGGCAATGTGAAGAAATCATTTCTTTGTTGTCATGGGTGCAGACTAATTAAAGGCTTCCTGGATTTTGTTTTGATAATCGTAGTGTATTCCACAAAAATTTTACAAATTTTTGTTTAAGTTATAACTCATATTTTATGGCAAAATGAATAATACACAAATAAACATGCTTTTTAAAATGCAGATGTGACAGCATAGAAAAACTGAAGGCCCAAATTCCTAAAATGGAACAAGAATTAAAAGAGCCAGGAAGATTTAAGGATTTTTATCAGTTTACTTTCAACTTTGCAAAGAATCCGGGACAGAAAGGTTTAGGTATGTATTCTTAATGATAAACATTTGTTCGTCAATATGGGAAATGACTGATTAAAGCAGTAAGTGAAAATATTATTGTGATCCAATGAGTCTGAAAGATAGCTGCCCTTGGGATAAAATACATCTCTCTGTTGTGAAAGATAGATGTCAATTTAAGGTGTTCAAATTGATAGAAATATCTGCATCATTAGTATAGACTACAAAATTTTATGAGAGAGGGTTTATTCTTTCACTAAGAGTGTGTGCAATTCTCAGTAAGCACAATGGATTATGGCCTTACATTAAAGGTATAATTATACCACTTAGAATTTGCAGCACTCAACAGATTAATTGAATTTTCACTTTTAGGATAAATTTAAGCTGTAAAACTGATTTCCATGTAAGTACACTTGTGCAGTTTCTTGTAACACCAAAAATGCTTGCAAATATCGTGGCAAAATAGAATTGGAATAGTGCAAATAGATTTCTATATCCTGGGCTTGATGCCTGTTGTTGTTGTGCTGTTGGTAATAGGTGCCTACCTACAGCCTTTCTTTTTTTTTTTTCTTTCCCCTGAGCTCACTGAATTTTTTTTTTATTATTTCAGAGCTCTTCTGCTGATTGTGCTTTTGATCAGTATCATAGGTGAAATGGAAGAATTGCTTAGTAAAAATAATTTTTTTAAAAAACAAAAAACAACACCAAAACCATGACAAAACTCCACAATTCAGATGGAACTAAATGAACAAACTGTAGATTTATCTATTCAAAACGACAAAAATGAGGGAACAAAAATTTCTTTCAAGCAGTAATGTTAACCAACCAGAATGCGTATTAATTTATATACAGTGTAGTTTAGATGTTAACAATAACTAGTATTTCATGACTCTGTAACTGTTAACTTCTTAAGTTAACTGTTCTACTTTTGAGAAGAAATAAAATACTGAAAGGCCAGTAGGTTCTTCCTTGGCAGCTTGTGAATTTGTTTTTCTCAGTAATGAAAATGCCTTTGACTGCCACTGACCAGCTTTGCATTCATGTGCTGTGAAAAGATGAGCATTCTGCTTTGGTTTTGTTGTCTTTTATATGTGGGCCAACTTCTGGCTTAAAATGAATATTGAAAAATGAGTAAATAAGCAAAAGCTCCATGTCTTATTTTCGACTTAGTGTCATTCTTTAGCATCTTTCTCTATCCTGTTTTTTGTTTTTGATTGGACTGTGAGTTTCATTGTCTTTGAAGAAGCTAAAAAGAGCACTGCTAAACTGTTTAAAAATACTTGTGCATGCAGGTAGTCAGGTCTGAATCCTGCAAATAAATGGATGGGCTGATTCTCATTTCTTGTAGAAAGTTGTATTATTTTTTTAGGCTGCTACAACAAGGAAAATGTGGACAAGTAATTGAATTGTGAGAGGATAGAGGTTAGGTTATGGAGAGTGTCAGTGTGGAATCAGTTCTGCAGTGTGAACCGTTGCAGGGTTTTGTTTTGTTTTGGTTTTTTATGGTTACCGTTGTAACATTTGTACGTTGTTTTTAATCTTTAAACAGCTTCACACAACAAGGACTATTTTGCAGAATCCCTGTAAGGTGGTAAAAGTGAAATGACAAATCACAATGATATAATTACGTGATCATCTTTAATTATATTTTCTCAAAGCTTCAGAATAACAGAACTGTTTGATGTAGTACTTGCCTCTTACTTTCTTCTCCATATTTCTGAGGTATAAGGAAGACTTGCATTCTTTTTCTGAATTTTTTTTTTCTTTTAGTCCTATATGGAAATGAATCTTTTGAGTATCCCAGATGGAACAGACTTAAGTAAAAAGTATTTACCAGGAAAACTAAGTCCCTTGCTTTATTTCTCATTCATCTTAAAGCTTCTTTATGCACGTTAAGCTCTGACGGTTGCAAAGACAAGTCTAGTTTTCTCAGATTCATATAGCATATATATAGTGTAAGGTTTTTTTACATTTTTTTTAAAAGTTTTTTTTTTTTTTAAGTCTGGGTCTGGCAGTGATGTAGAACTAAGCTTAAAATCTGGATGCTTACTAACCCTTTTGGTGCCAATAAATACACAGTTCTAGGCATGAATTTATGATAGGGCAGAATAATTCTGGAAACCCTGAAGCAAAAGAATACTGGGAGAAGTACAGTGCTGAAAAGTAAGTGCTCCTAGTTAGGCAATTAATTTTGGAGTGTCTGAAAAAACTGCTTGTAGGAACTTGTGAATTCATTTTTAATGTATGTTGGTCTCTAATCTTCCAAACAGTAGTTAAGGCACAGCTCTGGAAACGCATTTCTGCTGCGTAATTCCTTACTACTGTGTAAATACTGTGGATGTTTTAAAAGTTCTTGTGATATTTGCGTATCACTTGAGAATACCTTTTAGCTGATGTTCATCTCAAACATTGTTTGCTTCTCTTGCATCTCTCTGGATAAAACTCAAAATGGAGCGTATATTTTGAGACTTTCATATTTGATCCATGAGGACTTTCCTGAGCATTCTTTCACTTTCTTATGAAAACCTAAAATTATATCTTTACTTTTGAATTTTGTGATTTCATAAAATTTCTTTTAAAACATGTAGTTTGTCCTAAGGCATTATGTCTTCATGCTTTACATGTTTGGGCTCACGTGATGAGTTTGTGGTTGCAGCATCCTGAGATCTGTTTTTTAAAGGCCTTTGCTTACCCACAAGAATAATCTCAAAATTGTATAAGCATATCAAAATGCACAGTTTGTTTATAGTGTTTGTTTATGAATCACTATAAATATGCAGCGATTTGATGAGCTTACGTTTTTTGTATGCCTGCTATTAATGCATTACAAGTAAATAAAACTCAGTTTTCTAATCTGTTTCCATGAGGAACTGATCAGCTTAATCTGAAGTTTGTACCTACTCATTTTTAGAAAGACAGTAGTTTTAGTTGAAAGCTGAAGTGCATATTTTTGGATCTGACTCTTCTGTTAAAGAGAGATACCTAGCCTTTACACTCTTTAAGAAGTTACCATTTTCACATATTTACTGAGGAGTAGTGACTTCTGTTTAATTAGTCTCTGCTTCTCGAAACTCAAACTTACATTTTTGTCTGAAATCACACTCCTTTGCAGCTGCTGGAAAATCCTCCACAAATGTTATTCTTTATTTTGGTCCAGAAGCATTATAATGTGAATATGCTGTTCGAGAAGAACTTTTAATATCAAAGATACTAAACAATTCATAAAGTCCCCCCATCACCATCTATTTTCCCTCTAGCAATGCAGAGTTCATGCTTTGTTTTGTTTGCTATTGATTTCACCTCTAAGATCCACCTCCCTGGTTTTTAAATAGTTTGGGCGTCTGGGGGAAGGGAGTGGTTTTCTTGGGTTGTGTCAGGTTTTTTCTTTTTCTTCCTGAGGTGCAGTTGATCATGAGCCTCTTCTCTCTGCTCTCACAAGAGGGTTGTTTATGGAAGAAGAGATTTGCTGGACTGCAAAATATATGAGAGCTTTTGTTAAAAAAGAGGTCACTTAACTTTTGGGGTTACTGTATGTACTTGGTGATGGATACTGAATTCAGTAAGATCACAGTTAGTAGCATTTTGTTATACAGTACAGAGATCCTTGTTAATTCCTGGTAATGGAGATCATGCTACGCAGAGATTTAGAGCTCAGGTACATAACTTTCTTTTATCAGTTAACATGTTACTGTATGCCACTAATAAACAGTAAATGCATGTCAGTTTAGCCTTTGGCGAATACCAGGGAGGTGAGGTTTGTGGTGTTTTTCCGTATGTGCTAGACTAACCAGTCTCTTTTTCTAACTGCTACACTGTAACAGCACCCACTGCTGACAGCAGCACGCAGTTGCCTGACAGGCAGTAGGTTGTTGTTCCTGAACTGTGTCAGTTCTGAGAAACAGATTCAAAACAAGCAAGAACTTAACAGAAGTCTTTGGGGGGAAAAAACCCGAACAAACAAAACCCCCCAAAAAACCCAACCCAGCCAAAAAAAGACCAACAACAAACCAATCGCCTATCAACCATCTTCTTGTATGGTACTTAAAGAATTTTTTTTTTTTTTTCAAAAGGAAATGTGATTGCAGGAATGAACACTTGACAAAAGCCATGTTACAAAGCCAGCACCTGTAACAAGGTTGCTCTAAAAATGAAATAATACAAAGCTAGTTTTATGTAAATTGTATTTTATATATTAAAAAAAATTAAAGCAGATCTTACTATAAAGTACTATAAATTTTCTTTTCAAGTCAATAGCATTTCTAAGACAAAAGTATTTCACTGAATTTTAACTAAAGTATTGTTAGATAGCAAAAGGCATATGAAATATCCTTGCATGTTTTGGATATGTTAGGTACTAATACGGGCAATTTTCAGTTCTTCTATATTCAAGGGATGGTATCAAAATGTGTTTATTTATGGTTGCCTTTTTGTAAAGGATCCATGAGTATATTTGCATTAGATTACTCTTTTCACCTTTATAAATATATGGTTCATCTTAGTGTTAGATACCTGTGGAGATGATATATTTGAAATGTATATCTCTAAGAGTAATATATTTTAATATTACAGATTTAGAAATGGCCATTGCCTACTGGAATTTAGTACTTAATGGAAGATTTAAATTTCTAGACTTGTGGAACAAATTTTTGTTGGTAAGTTTAAATCTTTACATAAACTGGAAGATAGATATGCTTAAATTATTGAGTAGATGAAATAGACTATTTTGACCCAGATCCCAGATACTGCACTTCATAGTGTGTATAAGAGAAATATGTTTTGGGGATATGGATGTGTCCAAGACAGTAAAAATGAATGTGAATAAAGGGGTTTAATTTTTTTTTTTTTTTAAATATAAATTTTCCACCCCTCCAAACAGGAACATCATAAAAGATCAATTCCTAAGGACACCTGGAACCTTCTTCTAGACTTTAGTACAATGATAGCAGATGATATGTCTAACTATGATGAGGAAGGTAAACATTTCCATTTTCTTTCATTAACTTCTGTGTTTTATGCTACATTTATTACTGTGTATCTGCTTTGGCACAGCTTTCTAATAACAGCATAATTAGAATATCACTGGTGATCTAAAGTCCAGTTAGAGCTACTTTAATGCATGTTGTTATCTGTTTATTACTATAGGTTTAAAAAAGAAATGATGAAACTTTCTTAAATACATTTTCTTTTTTTCTTCTATCTGAGCTCAGATGCTAATTCTTTATTATTGAGACAAACCCTGATATCTGTCCATTTAAAAAACAGATTCTCTGTCAGCGCAGTTCTTGGCATCTTTAAGTAACTGATTCATGGCCTGTGCATTTCTTCGTAGCGTCCTCTGGTTATTGCATTTCGTAGATGGGAGTATTATTTTAAGTTTGGTTGCTTCAGTTTATGTGAAGATTGGACATGTAATAATATTAAAGTGAAGCTGGCAGCATACAGGGATTACTAAACATAAGTTATTTCCTACCAAATGTGTTTCTTGTAAACTTTTGTATTGATCTTTCCTCTTCCAGTCCATCTGTAGCCAAGAACAGCTAATTACCTTCAATCGTTGGCGGCAGATCAGTTCAGTGAGTGGAGGAAACTGTAAACTTCTGATACTTCCAGAGCAGAGGGGAGCAAACTTCTACAACTTTGTTTAATAATCATGGACAGTTCTCATTCCCTTATCATTGAGCCAGATGGGCTGCTGCCCACAATAAATCAACGTAGATTAGAAAGATTAAAGGCAGAAAACATGTTTTAATGATTTGGAATAAAAATATTTTAAGGGGGGGAAAAAAACAGCCCACAATTATTTTTAACCTTCACATGACCATCATGCACGTGACTCGGACCGCTTTGGATATGGCTGCCCATATGTAAAATACTGATATGCATTTTAACTACCTCTTGATAAGGAATATGGAAGAGTATATATAGTGTAATACCAGCCTTCTAGAGCATTATACTATATTGCTGGCTATCAGAGTGCATTTTGTTGTTTTCAGGTATGGCTAAGTATGCCAATTCTAAAAGATGAGCATTGCATTCATGCAAAATCAAATTGTGAGCAGTAAATGCTGTAGTATGTTAAGATATGCTGCTTTTTACAGCGTAGACTGCTTCATCCAATGTTCAACATTTTTTAAGGAGCTATTGCCATCCTGGAGATCAAGTTCTGGTGCCAAAACCAGGACAGTTTTAAGGTAGAATTTTTGTCAGCTTTTTCTATTTCTTCTTTTTTTGGTCAGGAAGATGAAGGAAAAACGACCCTTGAAAGGGATGTGTATTAACTGGGTTTAAAAGAAGTAGAAATCTTTAACCAGCTCTTAGATTTCAAGCAAGGAAATAAAATTTTTTTCTTGAAACTATGCCTAGTTAAGACTGCAAAGTAAATAACTTGTTTAGATCTGAAGCTTTAAAAAGAATGGCTTGTTGAACTGAGTTCTTATGTTCTGGTCTTTTTTTTCTTTTAGGGGCATGGCCAGTTCTTATTGATGACTTTGTGGAATTTGCACGCCCTCAAATTGCTGGGACAAAAAGTACGACAGTGTAGCACTAAAGGACCCTTCTAGAGTGTACATAGTCTGTACAAATACCTGAAATGGAAAATTGCACAGTCAATTTCTGCTGGCTGGACTGAACTGAAGATCAATCCTCACAATATGGCTGAGGGTTGAGACAAACCTTTAAGGATACATCTTGGACCATATCATATTTCATTCTTCTACTGGTGGTTTGGGCTTTTCTTCTAGTCTGGACCACTCTTGCCCGTTAAAATTCCAACGTTGTGCATTTCATCATGGATTTTTCTTTTTTTTTTGGTGGACCACCCTAGTTTCATCTCCCAAGTCCTAGAAGCTTTATAATTATTTTGAGGTTTCTGGTTCCACATAAAGCACAATGCCGGTCATCATCAGACAACTGTTGTATGGCATCTGAATTATACAGATCAACATCGAAACAATTTTTAAAAGAATCCTTAAATATACACTTGGGGCTAGTTGCAAAGACTGTATTGATAGCACTTCCTGTAAGAGTGATATATTTAAGTGTACTGGGTTCGATTCCCGCCCCGCCCCC